CCACCACCCCCACCGCCGCTGCCACCACCATTGCTGCCGTCAACACCACCCCCAGCGTCGCCACCACTGCCACCACCACCACCATGACTACCATTGCCACCACCACCACCATTACGGTCATTGTCACCCACCACAACCATCATTATCTTCTACCACCACCACTATCGCACACCACCTCTCACCCCCACTTCAAATCGATGGTTAAATACTTTTATTTTTTCTCTATGTTTGTGATTTAATTTTGAATATGAATACAACTATCTTTATTGTTTAGTATTTTTTATTATTTTGTGCCTTCAGGCACAGACAATAACTAGTATATAATAAAATAACTTACAATTCAAATCTCAAAAGATANACACCTGCGGACTTGTAAGCATTAAACAAAGCAGTCCAGGAGGTTCGATCTGGAAAGATCTAAAATACCTTTAAGAGAATTATGTGCTCATACAACTTGAGCATTCTTGCTCAGGTATTATTGTATTAGCAACATTCTCTGGTTTAGTGAGTAATGCGAAAACTTTTTAACTGTTGTGAGAGCTTACCATGCAGTTTCTGCCATAGATAAAAGTATGGAAATACTTTTGAATGGATATCATGTGTGAGGCTTAAAGAAGATGAAGAAGAAGAGTGGAGACTCTTCTTCCTATCAACAATATTTCCTNACTTTAAAAAAAATAGTGTTCGAAACCGTCTCACCACTACCTCAACCACCCCCACACCTACCCCCACCATCGCTACCGCCACCACCACCACCATCGTCGTCGTCGTTGCTGCCACCGCCACCTCCACCTCCACCATCACCGCCACCACCATCATCGTGTCNGGGAAACTGAAGAAATTCCATCTTTCTCTCTCTATTATCTTTTTTTAGTCCCCCCTCTCTCTAGAATCTAGCTCTCTCTCTCTTTCTCACTCTCAAAAAAAAAAAACTTGTAGATATGCAGTTATAGAGTTGTAAGCCTATAGATTTATGGATATGGGAGAAAACAAAATGGGTATATATAGATGATATCAAACCCTACCTGGACCTCATTTACCCTNCCACCACCATCATCGTGTCGTCGTCTCCGCCATCGCCCCTGCCCTCACCTCCACCACCACCATGGTCATTGCCACCCACCACAATTATCACTGTCGCCACCAACACCATGGTCATGGTCATCCACCACAACCATCACTGTCTCTTACCACCACTATTGCCGCCCACCACCTCTTACCCTTACTACAAACCGATGTTTAAATTATTTTTTCTCTTTTCTATGTTTGTAATTTGATTTTGTATATGGATACAAATATATTTTTTATTTTTTATTTTTTATTAATTCAGGCACAAGCAATAAATAATATATATATATATATATTAATTACAATATTGACACTCACCTTTTTTTCAATCGAAAACCATTAAGATCCACAAATTTAACAATTTCTGTTGNTATTTAATATTTAATTATCATGTCAATTATCACATCAGATAAACTTTATTTTTAATCGGTGTAGCATCAGTACTCTTTAATTAAATTGAGCACCAAATCCTCTATTAGCCCACTTTAATATATATATATATATATATATATATATTTTAATTTTTTAGAAGAAGGGAAAGAGGAAGAGCTCTTGATAGCCCACTTTAATATTATGACTTTAGAATATTTCGATTAGTCTTAGATTTATTGTGGATCTTGGTCGGCAAAAGTCAAGTTNTATATATATATATTAATTTTTTAGAAGAAGGGAAAGAGGAAGAGCTCTTGATAGCCCACTTTAATATTATGACTTTAGAAGATTTCGATTAGTCTTAGATTTATTGTGGATCTTGGTCGGCAAAAGTCAAGTTTTTCAGAAAGGTACCACTACCTCAATCAGCCTTTGCGAAGCCTGACGATCGATTGATATTAAAAAACAGCAAATAATATATATATAAAATAAAATAACTTACAATTCAAATCTCGAAATATAAACAAAATGACTTTTGTTATTCGCGATTGAGATCGCTTTAAATTTTATTTTAAAGTTAATCTAACGGATAATATTAACACCNAAATAATTGCACCAAAAAAATAAAAAAAATTCATAGTTAAGTTAATTACCAATAAAAAAACAAGTGACCAATAAAAAAAATAAGTGAAACAAATTTCTTTAAAAAAAATATTCAAAACTAATCTAATCGCCATCAACACTTTCACACAAATAAAAAGTATAAATATACAATCCATATATAAAATCATCAAGTTATTATTGATATGAAAATAAATCATTACTGTATGAAACATATAGTTTTAAAAAAAAAATCAAAGTCCAATCTAATCACTAATAAAAAAAATAAGTGACCAATAAAAAATAACAAGTATTACCAATTGCACCCAAAAAAAATTCAAAAATAATCTAATCGCATTCTTGATTCCTTGATTCCCTCCGGCGCCCGATCACATTCTTCACCCCATGATCCCTTCGCTACCCCCTTAAGCATGGTAAAGAACGACTTACACCTGTTCAAGGACTTGGAGATAAATCGGTTGAGAGCCGTCAGCATCTCAGTTAACTTTGTATGTCCTTGACGGTCTTTGACCTCTATATATCTTGCACAATCTGCACTTGATTGGGATTGATCTCTATGTCATGGTGAGTGACCAGATATCCCAAGAATTTGCCCAAACTTACCCCAAATACACACTTCGAAGTGTTGAGCTTCAGGCCGTACTTTTGGAGCACGACAAAGGTGACCCACGATCCCGAAGATGGTCGACTTTCATCTTGCTCTTTACAAACATGTCATCAATATATACTTCCATTGTGGTACCCAATTGTTGCTGGTGATAAATCGAGCAACAAATAGCTCGGACATCTATTTCCAAGACTAAACATTTTTTGGGGCCAAACTTTCGTACCATGCATAACAGTGTCTCCTAAGCTCATGGGGAACACTCTACACAACAATCTCTGGTCAGTGTCATAAATAGACATTAGTTGTTTATATTACCGCAAATGACCATCGAGGTTTGTCCTTCCATCGTAAACCTTGAAGCGGGAGACAGTGAACTTCTGCGGCATCTTGATCTCCCTGATAGCTCAAACGAATGGTGAGACGATCTGCTCGTCTTCGGTGTCATCATCCTCCATTTGGAGGGGCCTTCGGCACTTGGCATCCAGGCATAAACGGAGGTCCTCCTGGGGCCTCTTACTCCTAGGCCCCTTTGTCGTTGAGTCCGTGTGGGATTTTGCCGCCTTCGTTCCTCTTGAGTGTCAGTGGTGGAGATCCCCCTGGACAGATTAAACCTATGCCTCTTGCTCTCTTTGGATCTTTCCTCGGGGGCACACTCTTCGTAATTTCGATGCCCTCGCTTCTCACCCAGGCGCTCATGCAAGCTTCTCCCCTAGGCTTTTTGCCTTGCGCCCCGGGAATCACTTTAGTCGTTACTCTAGTCTCCACACTTGCTGTTTTGCCAGCTAGTTTCCTTTGATCGCTCGAAGTTATTGAGCCGAGTCTGCACGTTGGCGTTGTCTTTCTCAAGTCGCTTCAAATGGCTTCCTATCCTTTTTTTCCGTCAACTCAATGATTTCCCTAGCCAAGACGCCTTATCCACCACCGGTAACGTTAATTGCTAGATACGCTCAGATCCATCTGACTGGTTGAAGGAGGTTATTCAGTGACTATTGGGAGCCAGCTAGCTTCCGTATTTCTCACGCGTAGGCTATCCCCCACCTTACCTTGGGATCGTGTGTTCACCATTACACTATCGCGACAGGAAAAACTAGTCTTTTGATTCCCACAAACGGCACCAAATTACACGAGTTATTTCTTGCAATGAGTTGAGATAGCGATCCGTTGGATGATGAATCTGAAACAATCAAAGGATTAGGAAAGGGGTCGGGTTTACACTCGGCTAATCCCTTTCGAAGCTCAAGTCAGTCGGCATTGAAGTCATAAGCATAGTGTATTTTTTGGATTTCAATTATGTACCATAGTATAGCTTCTTAGGGGGTATTTATACCTAGACTGGCAATGATAGAAGGATCTTTGAGTCCCATCTCAAAATTTAATAGCTTGTACTTGTATCCAAACATAATGAGTGTCATCCCATCAAATCTCCTCAAGACTAATCCCTTCAGGCGATTGGACCTTTGCTCGGGAACCTCCGTGCATTCATGGCCCAACCCCCGATCATTAAATACCTTTGTTCAATGCTTAACACATACGCCCGAGTGTTCACTGCATTGGAATAAGCATCCCGAGGTCCGTTGAGGACATTAAGTCAGCGTAATGATAATTAATGTCTTCTAATGATGACTATCTTCTTATTTCTCGAGGACGTAGATGCTCATTAATGAATCTCACAACCATTTAAGACTCCATTAATGAGTTGTCATATCCCCTTTAATGTTAGGTTTTAGAGGTGTACTCGGCCCTCCAGGTTATAACTCCTTAGTGCCTCCCCCAGGCGCCCTTTGCGCTCCTCAATGGTTACAACGGTCCATGTGTCAATTTACGGCTGTTAAGCCGTCTAAAGTCCCGTCAAATACTAAGAAAAAAAGATATGGACATAGTATTTTAAGAGAAAAAATGAAATGAGATGACAAAATAGAATTGCAAGTTTGCAGAGTAATAAAGGAACAACTGAATCTTGTGAGTATCCCGACCTTCACTTTTCATTTGGAGTTTATTTAGTACTGGTAGAATAGTGCACTTGTAACACAAATGAAATAACTATTTCTATTAACAAACCCCAAAACAATTACACCCAAAAGAATGGAGATGACAGGTCTTCTAAATAGAGAAGAAGAGCAACCATCCCTAAGGGGGTCAAATTTCATTCAAATTTCACATAATGAACTTCACTTTTATCTATGAGTTATGTCCCATCCACTTTCCACAAAGACCATTTGGACCTAAAAGTTAAGAGCTATGAAAAAAGACTTGTCGTTCTTTCTTTATTTCCTATTTAAGAAGGCGGCGACATTGGAGGAATAAGCAATGCTGCTAAGATCCCCAGTCGATTTACCTCTTTTCGAAAGGGAAGAGAGTTCCGTCACTTCTGGGATTAAGGGAAGTAACATGAATGTAATAGGTTATAGAATCCGGTTTGTGGCATCTTTCCTTGGTAAATTTGTTAGAGAAGGACTTCTTTCAAAAAAAGTTAATAGTAGGGCAACTCCATTCAATAGGGGGGAGGCATGGAATTGGATGCTTCCCTCCTTTCAGTGCAGGAATGACCGCTTGGTGAAATGACGTACTTAGGTTTCCACACACATTTATGAGAAACAAATGTATTCTAAAACAGATATAATAGTTTTAGCTACAAGTCCCTTTGTCCCTAGTTTTTTAATTGAGGTCGTAGAGTGGAGATAGGAAAAGGTGGAGAATATGTTATATATAGAGTTATTAAACAGTGAGTAAAGTTGAATTTTATCCATTTTTCAAGGGTGTTATAAGAAGAGTAATGCTATTGAAAATTAAAAATTTGATCTAATTTATTGACCTAATGATGTAATTAATTGTAACCGTTGAATTAACACAAAATTTTAATGTTTGATCGGACTCATAGACAATCCGATGATTATAGTGAATTAGATCAACAAAATATGTTCAAAAAGCATTGCACTTATAAGAATTCAAAAAATTTTAATATTTTTTGACATTTAGAAGTAGTATATAATTGTTCTAGTTTGTATTACTTAACTTTTGAGAGAGAGAGATAGAGAGAATCCAAATAGATAACATTCCTCTAATACAAAGTAACTACATCAACAAAATATATCCGTAGCTTTAAATGGTTAGAAAACTAAAGTTGTTGAAATATAAGAGGCAGGCCTTGGGTAGGCCTGAGAGACAACATGATAGAGGGAGAATGGCAGTAGTTTGGCGACAGGGAAAACGAAAACCTTGTGAGAATAAGAGTTAAAACAATCTTGTACTCCAACATGCTCAAGTTTCTTCCCACACACATTCTCCCTCCAAACCCAAAAGGCAAAAACCCCATCTTGTGCTTGCATCCTCCATACAACGAGTCATCCTTGAACCTCTCTGGCTTGAACTCATAAACGTCGTCGCCCCAAAGTGATCGGTCGTGGTTCATTGAAACGAGGTCGATCCACATGTTTGTGCCACTGGGGATCACCGCCCCGTCCACTCGGATGTCTTCTCTTGCTTGCCGTTGTACGTTTGGTGCCGGTGAGTATAACCGTAGAACCTCATTCATTACCCATCCCATCTGCATTTAGACAATTTTCAGACATTTAGAACCAACATGATTCAAATACATGCAAAAGCAAAGAAAATAACTAATCATAGTGGTGGTTAGAGTTATCTTCGTTACACTTAAATTTAACGATTAACCCACCTTATACGGAGCATGAAAAAACTTGAAGTGATCCATGTGGTACCCAAATTTTATAAATTAACCCCCGACTTATATATAGTTATTGATTTATCAACGGATAAAAGTCTAATGTAGTGGATTTGAATTCTTAATATATGAATATAACATGAATTATATCTCAATTTATTATATTTGTGAATATTTTTATCACTGCACTGGGTATTTTTATTAATGTTATAGTACTGAAAAGGAAATGATAAAAACACTCGCAACAGTAGTAAAAACACCAACAAAAAATAAATAAATTTTTGATTACAAAATGTCTCAAAAAAATTGTAAAAATAGTCGTTAAAATACAAGTTATTCATGCAATTTTGCATGCATGTCAGATTAGACCTCGTTGCAAAGTTGGACAGAGAAAGCTTTGGTCGGTTATATAACACATTGAGCCAAAAGAATATATGTATGTGCTCCCCTGGCCAAACCACATCGTATCCTATGGCCGTGTGGACAGTCAAATCAACTGGGCTCTGGCGGGGTATTGCCACGTTGATCTTTACATAACTATGCCAGCAAGATCATGGTGGACCATGCCATGGCAATCTCTTATCCTCACTCTCTTCGACACGTGGAGTAGCCCACCATTTTGAATTTTACGTTATGACCATTGAATCTTACCAAGAATCTTAGATATATAGATTATAGACTAGTCACTCATTCAAAATGTTTAGTATAACAATTGGGTAAAAATATATTTTAAGCAGGTTTAAATGCAGTAAACACTCAAGTTCTCAGAACCAAGGTTAAATGATTGAATTCAGGATTAATTCGAATTAAACTAGAACTCAAGTAAAGCCCGAGAATTTAATTTGGGTTCAACTCGAAGTGAGAATTAAACCTTGCACTAGGAAGCAAAGTAGGAAAGGCAAGAACCATTAGGTCATTTTTTTTTTACTTTTGGTAATGATTAAATTAATGATAAATATAACAATT